ATCCCCATGCTACAATAACAAATCCAGTTTGATATGGTGGACATCAGGCTAGGAGATGGGAGACCATGAGTTCCAATCTCACCTTAGGCCCAAAGCAAACTGGGTGACCTTGGGAACTCACTTTCTCTCAGCCCTAGGAAGCAGCAATTGCAACCACTTCTGAAATCTTGCCAAGAAAACTGCAGGGACTTGTCCAGGGAGTTACCAGGAGTCAACGTTGACTTGAAGGCATTAAATTAGTCAACACTTTTAGTAGTTTTATCCCAAGACTTTGTGCACCATGAAAAAAAATCTAATCTGTTTTAAGATGATATTTTTCCATTCAGGACAGTGTGTTCAGGTGACCAGGCTAGTCTTGAATTTCATTGGTAAATTCCTCTGCCCAAACTATGTTCACACAAGGAAGGAATTGTATCTCAGAAACAAATGTATTTCATTAGTGAACTGCTAGTTTAAACTATATATTTGCCTACCCACATGGGCAGCATGTGGCTAAGTTCAAAACACATAGGAAGTGTTTTCCTAAGTGTTAGCTAAGTTCAAAACACATAGGAAATCAAAAAAGTGTTACATTGGACAGTCTTGGATTCCACTAAAATAAGCTAATAAGAAGAATTCTAAAATGTAATTAGAGAACACAACATATGCAATATCAGAATTGTGACATCTGTTAGGAATAACATAGGTTACCTAACGTAGTTTGGGTAAAATAATATATATAAACTATGATTGTAAGTTTAAGTGTGTGTCACTTTAAAACTGCAAAGCATATAATTTTGGGTGTGGTGTGAAACCACCATAAGAGGGAGCAAGAGAACCTGATTGATTGCTGACAATTACTGGATTGCATGGATTGATGGTTTGTTAACTGCGTGTTTCCCCTACTGCTGAGTTGCTGAAGGAAGAGAGGAGTTTTTGACTTCTTCATATCTCTACTGCAAGGAGATATATTACTGGACTGATATTTGTAAGTTTACTGACCTCTCTTTTTCGACACTGGAATTTGCAACTGAATAATCCCTGGACGGACTGAATTAGTGAATGATATATGGACTGTTTGACTATGCTATAATTCTTATTGGAATAAACTATTTAATTAGCACTGCGTATCTGTTTTACTGAGTGTAAGCTACAAAAAACGTTTATCTCACATATTTTGCCTGCCTGCCTGACTGTCGTGCAGGTTCTGCTAGGGTGTATCCCTAACAACATCATCCTCTTTGGGAAACTATGCTATGACGTTTAGATAAAAACTAAAACCAATCCAGTTTGTGCCAGAACCCATGTTAAATCCTACCTATTTACTCTACTCACACTTTTTTATGACTAATTCTATTTATATTGCAATTTGCTCATTTTTAGATTTATTTTCATCTGTTACAAAAATTAAGTGTGTCTGGCATATGTTGGACAAATTCTGATCAGAAAGGTACAAGTGGTAGTGTATAAAATTTAGAAACTGTGTCTATGTATCTCCATATTTTTTTATGAATAGGAAATTAAATTGTCATAACACAAAGTATGTTGGAAGCATGAATGAGGCCGAGATTAAGAGACTGCACAATCCTGAGCTGGATGGAGGATAGGGGAACAGGTCTAGGGTAGTCCTATTCTAGAATCTCCCAGGATAAAGCTAGTACATTAGAAAGTTATAGCTTTAGTTTAACAAAATTCTCTCCATTATACCATTAGGTGTAAGGAATGAACTTATTTGGATTTCACTGTATTGTCTCTAGGCTTGGGCCTGAAAACAAATTACTTAATAAATAATTTAACATTGAGCATAGAATAAGACAGGGATGTGTGAGGTTCCTTTGGTTATTTAATGTATTTATAGATAACCATGTAAGGAATGCTTGTAGTGATATTAGATCTTTGTTTGTTGGAGGCGTGAATATATGAGGGTTGAATGACATGTAGTATCTCCACTTCTATAACTTTAATTTAAATAGGAAGATTTTAATCAAAGGAAGTCAAATAATTGTTGAAGTGAGCTCTTCTGTTCCTTGCATTTATTCCTGCATATAATCATTACCATTCAGTTTTTGACAACAATGGACAAGTTTCTTAAAGCTGTTACAAAAGAACTACATAGTTTGTCTCTTCAACCACATCTAGAATGGCCTTTTCACCTCTTTATTTGAATCAGATAGATTGAAATTTAATTATAGGAAAGGTGGAACTCACATGATTCCAAATCTGGATTGTATGATGAACAGAATAAAATGCCAAGCTCCAACGTCACAATTATTAGGCTTCTGAGGTTTAAAGCCTACCGTAGTATTATCATCTTGCAGCAAAATCTCCATCTTGTTCTTCCAAATTCCATTTAATCTTTGTTTTAAAATGTTGAGTGTTGCAATGTAGCACTCTGAGATGATAGTGGTGCCTGGTTCTAGGAAAGCCATGTGAATAACACCATCTGCATTCAAAAAAATAGTAAACATGAGTGGTCCTATTGAAGCTTGGGCTTTGCGTAGGTTTGTAATAATATTCCATGGCCTGATGCTTCATTTCTGAGTCATAATGATGAGCCAATGTTTCATCAACTGTCATGAAGAAATTCTTCACTTTCATTCTTGTAGTTTGACAATGCTAATAAATTTCAACTCTTGAAGCTTTCATCTCTGCCTTGAGTCATGCAAGGAAACCACCTTATGCAAACTTTCCAGTGCTGAAGAACTTCAATAATACGATCCACATGTTCCTAAGAAATGCCAATTGCCAATGTCTATTGACAGTAATTTCTCTTGGAGAGATCTCCTGATTTTCTTTAATTAGTTCATTTAACTTTCTAATGCAAAACGTATTGGTTGCTGTTCTAGGTTGTCCATTTCATTCTCAATCACATAAATCAGTTCTTCCCAATTCACCATATTTATATTTCTTTAGCACAGTAAAACATAACGCATTTGGCATTGAACTGCAGTTGAAGGGACTTTCAGTCAAAAATTTAGTCAAGGCACATTGCTTAAAGTGCAGTGACTGCTCTTTAAGCAATGTGACCACAGATTTCTATTTCATCAACAATAGTAATACAGGGTACAACTTTTTTTGACAGCAAGATCCTAACACATCAGTACTGCCATCTATTACTGACTCCTTTTCATTCAACTCTTGAATATGGATATTTGCATGTAGATAATTTAATGTTGCTGGATGAGAGTTAGCAAGAATGTTAGATGAATATGGATTTGAAAAATCATTTTATCAGATGTTGGTATTTATGACAAAAAATGATGCATTGCAAGTTTTACATGAATGATAAAAAATACTACAATTAGATGAATTTGTATATCTTGATATATTTTTTACTAAAGATGATGAAATGTTGGTAGAAACACTTCTATGGTCAAACCAAGAGGTCAGAAAATACTAATACTATTTATTTCTCTGATAGAACTGATGGCATTATATATTAGAAAAGATATAGCAGGCATGTCTAATTGAGGAGGGGACCTCAATTTGCAGGAAAAATGGGATGCCTCAATGGCAGGGGTGGGATTCAAATTTCATAACAACTGGTTCTGTGGACGTGGCCTAATTTGTGGGTGTGGCTTGGTAGTCATGTGACTGGCTGGGCATGGCTTGTATGTAAATATTGTAAATATTTATATAAATATTGATTTTTTTTATAAAAAAGAGCAACTTTTACCCAAAATCAGGTAAAGCAAGTAGGCTGATTGAGTTGGTCACAGAATCACAGATTCACTCAGAGATCTACCTTTCTGCTATCTGCTGTCTGAGTCTGTCACATAAAATTTGCTAGCAAGCAAATTCATAACACACCGGGAAGGAAATATTTAATTCTTTATTTTAAAAAGAGCAACTTTTATCCAAAATCAGGCAAAGCAGGCAGGCAGATTGAGTTGCTCACAGAATCACAGATTCATACAGAGATCTATCTTTCTGCAATCTGCTACCTGAGTCTGCACTGAAAAATAAAAGCTAGGAAGGTTCAGCTCTGCTTTTAGACTAGCTAGAAAGTAAGAAATCCAATGATTTTCTGCTTTCTAGCTAATCTAAATCTCCCAGCACAACTGATAGTCGGAACAGCTTATGCTCAGGGGAAAGAAAAGGAAAAATAGCAACTTAGTAGGCAAGTTGGATGGTGCGTATACCAGGTAAGGAGTGACAGGGCGGGGTGGGGCAGGGCCAACTAATGGTGCGATTTGCCAGTTCTCTGAACTGCGCAGAATCATAACAAATGGTTTTATAGAACCGGTGCGACCAGGTAGAATCCCACCCCTACTCAATGGTCTCTTCATTTATACCTTCTACACAGCAATTCTAGTAGCAATGTGGAAGAATGATATAAGAAAGGATACAAAACTGATCTTATTTTCTACTCTTATTTTCAGGTTTTCTCTGTTATATTGCTGATTGCTGGATATTTGTAAAGCAATCACAAAATTATCAAAGTAGTTACCTAATTTTTACCAAGATCACAAACACATTCTATGCTGGCTAGTGCAATAGGCATAAGCTTTTATAACAAGCTTATTTTAACCTATCTTGGTAGTTTCTCTGAAGGAGAACTTTTATCCCATTCCTTTGTTAATTCAGTTGAGTCTGCAAAGAGTCAATGTTTTATTTTTCCATTCACAAGTGACATGTTCTTGAGTGAAAGAACACGTCAGGGTAAAGAAATGAGGGATTGTAGAAGACATTATTACTTAAGCATACATATGTCACTGGAACCATTTTATTTAGAAATAGATATTCCATACATTCAGTTTAATCAAGTAATTTTAAATGCTACAACACACTATATGTGAGAAACAATTTGATGTAGCAATTAAAGACACTGGGCTAGAAACCAGGAGGATTTAATGAGTTCCTGGTTTCTAAGATTTGTAATGGAATATGAGAATGACCTTGGAAGATAGGGGGAATAGATGCTGCCTAGGGAACAATCAGGTAAAGGGGAGGAAACTGCAACTAAATAATGGGCAGAGAAAGAAATTTAGAAAGGATCTGTTCTAACTTATTAGATGGTAAAAAGAGACAGCAGGAAATTTGTACTCTCAGGCTTACAAGATTCTGTAAATGTAGCCTTATAATACAGTATAATTAGCTCATCTTATGTTTCCTATCTGATTTACTTGGGAGATTGACATGATTGGCTTGAAAGCAGAAACACAAAGATAATATCCGTGATGGTGAACCTATATCACGGGCCCGTTTTTCGGCCTCCTGAGGCTGCAGAGGCTTCCCTCAAGCCTCCAGGAAGGTGAAAACGGTCTCAAACGGGCCAAAAATCAGCTGGAAGGCGTGCACTTGTGCAGTTTGGGTAAGGGGGATGGGCGGAGGTATTGCGCGTGCATGTGCGGGGGGCAGGACACTTTGCATTGTGGGTGCTGGCATGCACACGCTTTCGACACACCACAACAAAAAGGTTTGTCATCACTGCTCTACATGCACTATAAATATGTATTCATTGATATTAATTATTGCATATTAAAATAGTACCTTAATTTTTACGATATGAATTAATTGTATAACTAAGCATGACTGAAGATTTCCTTATTCCTCAGTTAGAATTTGTTCCCAGATACCTCAAGGATGATTGAACAGCTTGTACATCCTTATCAAATCCTCCCTAACAAAGTATAAGCAAGGTACAGATAGTCCTTGACTTACAACAGTAATTATGAACAGAAGTCATGACAGTAGTGAAGCAGTTGTCCTGATTTTACATCCTTTTTTGCAATGGTTGTTGAGTGAACTCTGCAGTTATTAAATGAACACTGAGGTTGTTAAACAAACTCATTTTCTTCAAATGGATGTTTTTTTGGTGGAAAGCAGAAGTAAACAACAAAAATTAGTCAAACCACAAAATCATGGTAACAGGATTGCGCACACTCCAGCCACAAATGTTGCCAAACACTCCAAATGTGATGACATGACTGCAGGTGGTACAGCCATTGGAACCAATGTAGGTAGTAGGTTGTAGGTAGTTCTGGGCAGATCTATCATAACTTCTGAAAGTCCTTAAGCAAGGACCACCTGTATATCAAAGCATTTCCTTATAATGTCTTTAGACTCAGAACTTACAGACTTTTCTCTTTTTCTTATCATCAGTACCAAGCAATAGCTAAAATGTAACAGATGTAACCTGCATGTGTGATGCCTTACAGCATGATGTAACCTGCATGTGTGATGCATAATACTTGGGCCTAACCTATATATACTCATATTAACCTCATAAACCCCATACCAACATTCCTCCTCACAAGATTTGATGACTTATTATATTCAATAAAACAATAATCTTCTATTGTTTTGGTAATTTATTTGGGTGTAATTTCCGCTACCTACACAAAAATGGTTTTGCAAAAGTGCTTTTGTCACTGTAAGATACAGTGAGAATTGGGAATGTCAGGAGAACCCAACGGTCATGAGGTATTGACATGGGTACATAAAACAAGAAGAGATGGGGTCAGAAATAAAGGTTTGTTGAATTAATGTAGATTGAATACAAAGGGATATAATCAGTAGGAAAGAAATAAGTTGAACTGGTTTTCAAGGATGAATGAGAATTGAACAAGGGTATTATCTAACCATTCCAATTCTTCAGATCCTTCCTTCCTTCTTTCCTTCTTCCCCAATTTATATGATGCCTCAGTTACATCACCTGGAGGACATCTGGCAGGGATCAGGCTTTGCTTGCACAGGCAAGGCTAGCATTCCAACCAGATAAGGCTCTGGGTTTTTTGGATAGCCAGCTTGTCTAGGCAGAGTAGAAAAATTATATCTTAGCACAAATTGTAGTGAAAATACTGAGGCGTGAGCATGTAATGAAGAATTTAACTTCTATTGATTCATTTTTAATAGCACCAGATGTGCAGAGTTCTGGTTTATAAATGACTTTTTTCCCCCAAATTTTGATATGTTCATAAGTCTTTTAGTTCATAGGACTCTTGGGACAATACTATGTTATGTCCATGAAAACAAATACTATGTTAATATCAACACAGTTCTGATAGAATGATGCCTTCTAACTAGTAAAACTTTAACATTATTAAACAATTTTAAAATATTAAAGGGGAAAAGTTATTCCTTCCCTATTCACACTCAAGAGGGATGTCAAACTATTTCTCCTTAAATGGTCAATTCCTTTAGTAAACCAATCAGGACCAGATCTCTTACTATCGCCTCATGTTCTCCAACTCAAAAAGAATTCTTTACATGGAACACATAAACATTAGTGATGGGAAATATTAATCCTATATGAAAACCTAGTGATACCACAAAATTTCAGAAACTTTGTCTCATTGATTTGGTTGTGCCTTGATGTGCTTTTATATTTGTTATAATTGTTATCATTGCTTAAATAATATAGGCTTTTTAAGATAATGTACTCATACATCCTGATTATTAACTACTTTGATATTTCTCATTATGAAATTCAGTATTAACATAACTTATCTTTGGAATCAGTTGGTGCCTAAGTTTAATAGTACCCTGAAAACAAATTGCAAAAGAAATGTATGAAGAGTAAGTTTGAGAAGAAGGGAAACAGCAAGAAAACTGTGGTTAGAAAGAGTTGATGAGATCTTGAAAAAAAAAAACCCTCAAAACCATATGTGAATGGTAGGCTGACATGTAAAAACAAGAATGGTTTGCAAGGATGGAAAGATGTGGTGATAGACAGCGATTAATGTTGGTGCAAATTAGTCTTTGCTGTTACTTTTTCTTTTCCAGGTCTCCTGCCTTTTAGTTTTTCTTTTTTAGTTCATTATTTCTTATTTCTGTTTTGCACTTTGCTAATATTGTGTGTCTTGAGAAGTAATAGCACAAAGAATTTGTATATGTGTACAATGCCAGTGCTTCATTTTCAGCTTCTTTCTAAGCTTTCTTCTTAACGTTGTGTTATCTTTAGTTATAGTCAAAGATGAAAAGATTTTGTCTCAATATTTTCACCATAATCAATTTGAAAGCACTGCACATTACCTGAAAATGAAATGACAATTTAAGCTAAGTTCAATCACACAAGCTCCCTTTGTTGATGTTGTTTATTAAATTTAATGCTATAAGATACCTTATAAGACCTCATTACAAAAATCCCACAATATCAAAGAATTACAAACAGCATTAAAATATCAAGAAATAGTATTTATAATAGTATTTAACAGGATTAACAATTAAACCAATCATAAAATGGTGAACAATCATTCTCTGCAACTCCTCCAGAAGAGTTTGGATGTCATCAACCCCCAAAGGTTTGTCACTAGGGAGTAGCAACTTCAACCAGGAGTTTCTTTCATAGCATAGGCACTATGTTGGGGAAACCTTTTATAGAAAATTCTGGTTCTGAGGCTGAGCTGGAGAATCTAGCACAGGGGCGTCAAAGTCATGGCCCGCGGGCCAGATGCATCATGTGCTGGCCATGACCACTCTCAGTTTAGTGAAGGGCAGGTAGTTTCAACTAAGTCATGTAACAACTACATGATGACATGAGTTTGACATCCCTGAATTCTAGCAGATTCTTTGATGAGGTTCAGACTTCCTTTTGTGTGATAAGTTACACCCAGTAAAGAGGCTGCTGACTGAGATAGCAAGAGGAGAGGTCAAAAACATAAATCATGCCACCAATGGAAAAACCAACTGAGCTGCAGAGATACTGAGGTACTGTGCATTAATTTCTCTAATAAAGAAAAGCCAAGAGCTTTGTAAGAGCGAACTACAGGTCCCCTCCCTTTGCAAACAATACCCAGTTCCTGCATATTCCTCCCATTGCTAGTGTTTCCTAACTTACTGTCCAAAAACCTTGCAATCCCTAGATAGCACAATGATCTTCAAATCTAGAACAAATCTAGATCTTCAAGTCCAGAACAAGACATTTGGCTGTATTTTAACTGTAGTGATAAGTTACAGGGAAGATATTCTTTTTCTTGAAATCAATTTGTTCCTAATTTACAGCTCCTCACTTCTAACATACTCTACTAACTAATTTATGGCCAAGCTAATAAAACCATTTAAAATCCAAAGGTGTTCATTATAAATCATTACTTCCTGTGTAGTTTGATAAATGAACCATCCTTCTGTGACTCTATGATATTGAGAAAATGGAAATTCAAACATTCAAATTGCTTGCCAAGTAACTATTGTTCATTAAAACTTAAATATATATTAAATATATAAGAATAAAGTAAAGATTAGTAGCAGCACTTCTTAATCTTTTTTCTTTATGCAGACCACTATAACATCACCTAAAGCCTTTGTGAACTACCACAAAATCAAGCTATATTTACAACTAAAACACAATCTATGTCTAACAGATATTGAAGTGATAAATCAAGGTGTATTTTAAATGTAGCTATGTCTAATAATTTATGTTCACTCATGAATATATTGGATTTGTCAGCAGTTGGCCAAGCAGTAGGACTTAACAAATGAGAAGATTGATTATATCACTATTACATTATCTCCTATCCTTCCGTGTACTGCCTGCTAATGGACTTGCACACCACAGGCTAAGGGCCATGGTTTGCAACTATAGAAATAACACATATCTTTCCCCCAAAACCCTTTACGATTTCCACTCTTATTATACCCACTGTTTATATCTGCTGTTATATCAGCAGGTTAAATATTTAATTGAAAATATTTTTCAGTAGAATAACAGGAGTGGCTATATAACAAGCATCGTTTTTGCAAAAGTCAGACAACTACTTCCTTGAAGCTATTCTAGAATCTCAAGTAGTAAAAATGGATGTTTTTAAGGTTTTCAAAAAATCTATGTAAACCAGTTGGAACTATTCCCCATGTGAAACTTTCAAAATGTCTTCGCCATTTCTTAGACAAAGTCTGGGTTCAGACTTTTGTGTCCTTTTCTCTTCACAGACAATATGTTAAGAAGCAAAAGGCAAAATAGCTATATATTATATTTTGAGAAACTCTGCCATTTTTTGAGAGTTCCATAAGCCCTTCATCTGTAGGTTCCATAAGCCCTTCATCTATCTAGGTTTAAAGTATAAAAGCAATCTATCATATTTTTAATCTATCCCTGCTAAGAAAAAAACTTTATACTTGCTGACCTGAGCTCTGGTTCCTCCTAATACTTGTATATTCAGCTCCTGTTCTTTCCTGACTCATTAGTAATTCTACCTTGACATTCATAAAGGCTAGCTGAGATACTCAGAGTTTGAATCTTCTTCTATTTGGACACATTCAGCCTTTTTTAAGAGGAAAGAATGTTCCTTCAAACTTAGACCCACTTTTCTCAATCTATCCTATGTTAACATTTTTTTTTCTATATCATTTGTTGTCCATTGAAATCAATAAGAAAGCACGGCTTGTTGAGAAGCCCAAAATATTGAAATAACTCTAGAAATCAGTATTTTGCTTAATTACTCCTCCCTACCAAAACCACATTTATATCAATTACTCAATGATCTTGACTTCCAGAACCCAGCATTTATACAGTTTAGCACTGTTGAAAACCTCTCTAGATTATATTTATTTCCTCTTCCAAAATCATATTTTTGCACAACAAAACAGTTTTTGATATTGCAAAGTTTCCAAATCATTCCCCAAAACCCTGTTAGGAGATGACAGATTCATTCATGCAACAAAAAATCTATGCCAAAGCCACTGAAGAGAAAACAGTTTGAAGACAATTTTGTGGGGAGTTGATAATTTTTTTCTACTCTTTTTTTCTTTTCTTAACATTATCAAGCTTCTGGGTGGTGGGGTTTTTTTTTTGCAAAGAATAAGGACAGGAAACCAGCAAGGAAATGGTGTCAAGATATTTTCAAGGAGGTGATTATTTGCAAAATACACAGGGTAGAGTCAACTTGATTTAATTTCATTTTTAAAGTGTGTCTAGAGACTAGAACAGAATTGTATTAAACCTTCTGGGGACAATTAAGGGAACATTGTCCATTGCTTTCATAACTGATTGAGTCATTCTAACTTGAATATTCATGCATGAGGCATTACATCTCATTGTGTTTCTTCTTCTAAAGACATATTCATTACCGATACAAAAGGATGCAAATGACCAGCTGTCTGCAAGGAATATAAATCCTTCCATTCCACACACACACCATCTAGTCAGAGCTAAAGAAGCTTCTTGGATGAGAAGCGAAACATCTTCAAAGAAAAAACAAAAAAAGTCCAGTTGCCTCCTGAAAAAGCATCTTTAGCTAACCGGAAAGACAATTTCACATATGCACCTAGATATCACCTAGGTATTATTGACATGCATGATTATAGACAAGATGCAGAGAATTTGACTAGAAGCACCCGAAGAACCATTTCAAAATGATATTCTTCCATTCTTTGATGAAAAATTAAGGAAATGTATTTTCCCATCTAAGGAAAATGACAAACCAGATATGACATGACAGACATCAAACAG